AAGTTTAAAGAATATACACTACAAGACTGATGAGTGAGCTGGGCTTTTGGAATTGGGACTGGGAACATTACGAGCCTCAAATGATGCCTATTTGATCAGTAAATGCAAAATACTCATTTTTCTAGAAGTGTCTTTAGTCACCTTTTCACCTGCTCACCCTTTATCCTCATTTCCCTTAAGCATACAATCCTCACTCCACGGGCAGAAGAAGAGCCTTACAGAACTCTCAGGGCAGAGTTCCAAGCTGGGGAGCTGAGGGTGAGGGGGACTTGTCTTCTCTGTGTGACTCATTCCCTCTGACAAACCTGACCATGTTACTTCCCCTGACCCTGGGTGGTCTTGTCACTCTGCTGTCTCACTGATGTGTCTAGAGTTGCCTATTCAGTCTCTCCAGCTTCCCAGTATTTTCACATGTTCCCTTTACCCAAAGCACTCTGCTCTCCATTCTTAGCCTTTTGGACTGAGGTCTTTTTGTTTGCTTGTTTTTTTTTTTTCAAAGTTTATTTATTTATTGAGAGAGAGCAAGTGAGAGAGAGAGACAGGGTCTCATGCAACGACCCCACCCCACCTCCTGACCCTTCCCCAGCCTTTCTGCAAGCCAGGATCAAGGTCTCGTCTGCAGGCATGCTCAGGTTGGCCCAATATCTTAACATGAGGCCTTCCCAAATGGCTCCAGCATTGTGCAGTTGCACCCTACCATTTACCCTACCATGGCTGGGCCTGGACTGAATTTTGTTGTCATTCTGTCAAGGAAGACTTCTTGAACAGCCTTCAGCCCCATCCCCCCAACCCCAGATCTGGGTTAGGAGGCCCTTCAGTGTGCCCTCCCTCAAGACCCTCACCTTCCCACTTCATAGCATGGTCATACCTTGCCACAGTTTTTGGCTGCTGGTCTATCTCCTCTACTGTGAAGGGATTTCAGAAAGTCCATGGGAAAATAGAATTAAAGTATGAATTTATTTTGGTGCAAAACCTTTTCAAATCTATAGATAGTTTTTTCATAATACACATTTTGCATGAACTTTGTGAAGACTCCTCATCTATCATGAGCTCCCTGAAAGCAGCAACATACCATGCAGCAACCCCCTGGCACACTGAAGGCAATTAGTGAACATTTGTTCAAAGATGCATCCTGGACACCCATAGAGGCTTTCTCAAGCTCGATGCTCCTTCACTTCTGTCTGTCAAACAAGAATGATAAGTTTGACACACACACAGAGGGCCAGCATGAGATCATGGTAATAAGACAAAATGAAGGAGTTTTTATTTCTTGCCTCATAGGCCATTGGCCTCACACTCAGTCATCTGGAATTCTTGACTAATTGAAGGCATAGGCCCCTGGGAACTGGTTCACTGTCTCAGGCCTCACCTCCCATGTGCCCCCATGGTGCCTCCATAGAATCCCTGAGCACCGAGAGCATAACAGGGGCAGCTCTGTGGAAGGAAAGAGGCCTTGTGAGAGGCTACAGCAATGACCAAATGTCTGGCTGGCATGATGAAGAACTATAGCTTTCTTAGATTGCTGAAAGCAGATTTTTTGGGCAAAAAGGGAGGAAAGGGAGTAAAGAACTGGGTAAGCCACTGCCAGGAGTAGATAAGCAGTAGGAGAGATTCATGTTCAAAGTTCCTTTTGCCAACAGGAAGCCATACTCTCCAATGTGACCTTATTATCTTCTGGGGGTGGGAAGTGTACAAAGTTGTGTCTAGCCTTACTCCACAACCCGTTTTCTATTACCAAACTCTGATGTATCTGAATTTTCATATTCCAAGATGAATCATAGCCTTTTCTTGTTTTTTTAATTGGCTACCATGCTGGCTGGAGAACTGGCTTTAGTGCGGTGCTGAGATTGTGTAGAAGCTACAAGAGGCAACATGTTTTTTGGTATAAAAAATAATGTTTTGTCATGGGAAAAACCACTAAGCTGCTGAAAATGGATTAAGCACATTTTCATAAATGTTTCATTCCAGTAAAGAGACTGTCACATTTCAGCCCATGCAGGGAAAATTGCAATTGTGCCCTCCTAACAAGCAGGCTTCTTGATACCTCAGTGTAAGGAGCAGCATGTCTGTGTTGGCATGGGTATTGTTTAGTAAATTCAGTAACTCCAAGGGCTTTGAGTTACTTCCAGTAACTTCCATTAGTAGGGGGCAAAATTGGAGAATCATTTGACTTATTGTTTTTGATCCAAGTCCAATTACCCAGGTGGTATTGCCCCTGTATTGCTTATCTCGCTTATTGCAGTAGAACCATGCTGGCTGGAGAACTGGCTTTAGTGCGGTGCTGAGATTGTGTAGAAGCTACAAGAGGCAACATGTTTTTTGGTATAAAAAATAATGTTTTGTCATGGGAAAAACCACTAAGCTGCTGAAAATGGATTAAGCACATTTTCATAAATGTTTCATTCCAGTAAAGAGACTGTCACATTTCAGCCCATGCAGGGAAAATTGCAATTGTGCCCTCCTAACAAGCAGGCTTCTTGATACCTCAGTGTAAGGAGCAGCATGTCTGTGTTGGCATGGGTATTGTTTAGTAAATTCAGTAACTCCAAGGGCTTTGAGTTACTTCCAGTAACTTCCATTAGTAGGGGGCAAAATTGGAGAATCATTTGACTTATTGTTTTTGATCCAAGTCCAATTACCCAGGTGGTATTGCCCCTGTATTGCTTATCTCGCTTATTGCAGTAGAAAGTGGTAGAGAGGTACCCTGAAAGGCAGGCTGTGTCCTCAATTTTTCCTGAGGAAACTCCCAGAGCCTTAGCTACTTTTCAGAATCACTGGGGTAAGAAGTTGCAGAAGGGTTGAAATAAAAGACAGCC